TTAATAAAGGTCCATAATTGATCGCATTTAATTAGGACTCCAATATGTTTATTTCCTTAAGGCACCGAGAGTCCTAGAGAATTTCATTAACTTGATTGTCCAAGTTAATTATTCCCTCATTTATTCTCGGCATAATTCATTGTCATTCACAAAATGATTTTACAAACGTGTCACACTTATAGGTATATTAATATATATATATATATATATATATATATATATATATTATAATTTAAGTAAAATAATAATATCATATGACGGTAATCATAATACACTAAAAACGTCTAAATCAAGAAGAATGTTCGAGGAATCCTGGGCTATAAAATGGAGCCAATAATAACCTACATCGAAATTTTTGTTATTTTTGTAATTAATTCATTGTGAAAACCTGACTAGACGAGCAAGAGGACCACTGATGCATGGAGAAGAAAAGGTCCAAGTTCTTGGGTCAACCATTTCAAGCTCTACAAGTCTTGTATATCTCCTTCTTCAATATAATTCCCTTGCCGCCCAAATCAATCTCATTGACAAAAATTATATTATAGCTAGTAGTACACTCTAGAATCTCCAGCCAAACGCGTATAAAATACTTTTCTAATTATGAGAAGTACTAACTTTTTTAGAAAGACTATGTAGGAATATTTGTGTTAGAAGACTATATTTAATATACGAAAAGAAAAAAATATATATATGAACAGAGAGATCCAAACTTCGGACTTTAGATGACTCTCTCATTGGAGAACAAAGAAAGATTAAAATTTGAGTGAAAGAGAACCATACAATATTTTAATTAACCAATCTAATTTACATTTACGTTAAGAAATATTACAAAACTATTAGATTTATCTTTTTGTGATTAACCACAAGCTATTAATAAGTAGAGATGTGAAAGAAGCCAATAATTAGTAAAAGTTTATGGTAATGCAATGAAAATCAGTGGTACATAGTTTCGTCTCGTGGAAGTCACTTCGGCCTCTGTCCGCACTGGCCAGAAAATGAATGACCTCTCTCCATCTATTTTGCTTTCAAATAATTAATAAGAAAACTAATGAAAATGACTTGAAAACTTTAAGTTTTAACGATAAGGACAAAATAAAAGGTAAAGTGAATAGTACCATGATTAACTTTTTAGTGTAAAAATATGGTTTTTCGTTAAAATAAACAGTACTAGGAGCTTTTCGTTAAAGTTCCATAATTTAATTACTTCACTCACCAGAAATACAATAACCCTAAAAATTAACATTTAGTAACTTTTTATTTAAACTTTTCTTTGTGACTCCTCTTTTGTTTCTTTTATACAACATAAGTAACTGAAATAATTGGGTTTTGGTTCTTGACCCTTATATAGTATACGTATTGTGTTTAGAAAGATACTCCAATTCATCATATATATGAGTTACACTGGCCGTTTCGTTAAGAGAGTTATTTTTCTTTGTCATTATATTAATCTTGCAAAAGAAGAAATGTTACCCTATATGATTGGATGAACTGAAAAGTCCAATGTTACCCTATACAATTGGATGAACTGAAAAGTCCTCCCACATGGTGGGTTTTTGGGGCGGGGGGCGCAACAAGTTCTGGAACCCTACTCTTTCTCTTTTAGTATGTGAACTGCAAAGGGATTAAGGGTCAAACTGCCAACTGCATGTCTCAAGCACAAGGCATTGGAAAGTCTGCGTAGTTTGTGGTACCTTGCATTTGAATTGTCTGAGTTTTTTTTTTTTTTTGACCTTCGACATGTCTAATTAATGTCTTGGGGAAGAAGAGGAGAACCAGGCATCATGGCCCATAGGCCGCAGGAGGTGCCTTTGTTGAAGGGACCGAAGGTTCATGTCCTAAAACTCTTGGAACCAATCAAGTCAAATAACATCCGATTCTAATTTTCTTTTGACACCGGGTTATATTCTAAACTACTTTAACTTATGTAAAGAATGCTCGAGCGAAACATCTAATTATTATAATCTATTGATTTATTAAGTGTTCAATAATAAGAAAACAGATTTATCATTTGATTCAAATATAAAGAGACCGACAAGACAAACTAACCTATTCTGATTTGGGGGCTAAATGACATTGGATAGCATTCAGAAATTGAATCTATGTAAAAGTACAAATTTAAAACTAAAAACATTTCCGACCTACCGATTCGAACCAGTGACCTAGGAATAAGTAAAAGTACAAATTAAAAAAAAAAATTCCGACCTACCGGATTCGAACCAGTGACCTAAGGATATCTGATGGATATTACCAACTACAGTCCTCCGCTCTACCAACTGAGCTAAGGTCGGCTTGTACTCATACCTTAAGTTTTATTTTATTTATATCATTATCATGTTATTTAAATAAAACATACTGCCTGTTCTGACGATTTTTTGGGGTATCGTCATGGTTCAAATATGCTATTGTATTACTAGTTATGTACTTTTAAAGAAAAAAATTACGAAAAATATGAAAAGAAGAACAGAAGAAGTAGCAAGTTTCACAATGTGGCCATACGAAATCAAAGAAATCCCGTATGGTGAAAAAGAAAATCACTAATTTGTCATATATTCATTCCCAATACGATTAAAGTACTTAATCACATGAACATCCATACATAGTGCATGCTACTAGAAGATCAAGTTTCTATCAAATCCAACCTATACGTAAAGGGCCCAAATTAAAATAAGAACCGAAAAATAAATCCAAAAACTAGGACCGATTGATCATCAAGAAACTGCAACCTCATTTCTGTTGTTATTCATTGGCTAGGAAGAACCTGGTAGGCCTCGCCTGGAACTTTCTCCTTCTCCGAGGATCATGTTCTGAGGGATTCATTTGAAGGAGGAGGCATCCCTTTATGGCACCAGATTTTTCAACGATTGCAGGATCATTACAAATTATGACCTGTTTATGTGAATTTCTGTGCAAACTGCACCGGAAAGATCCTGGGTGTGTGGTCGGTGAACATGAACATGTACGGATTGAGGTGTGTGATTTTGGATTGGCGGTTGCTTTTTTTGAGGCCATGGAATAGCTCAACCACTAATGACTATTTTTTTTTGTGATTAAATTTTTTTTTTTTATATCAAAACTAATGACAGGTTTGGAGTTCGGGTCTTTTATAGAGCTTACTAGGGTTTACAATTACCTTAGTAACCTTGTCTAATTGTTATATTAGCCTATAATTTTCTTTAATCAACTGATGATATTTCAAGTAATTATAAAATGGATATCCAACAAAAAAACAAGTAAAGAAAATAGATATATCAAATTTGTATGAAGTTACTTGTAAGTTGGAACTTGCAAACTACAAACCTCTGTAAATGCTTGAATATAGGCAATTTTGTTTCTCTCATTTTAATCTTTGGTACACAAATACTTTTGAAACGGTTATGGTAAAACGTAAAAAAGCATCCTAATTAAGATTATACATAGGATTATACTGTACCCTTCTAAACGCCTGCCTGTGCATGTTAACGTAGATAATTAGTTAATTTGTTGTTTACATGTCAAGAAATCTGTTAGGGCAAGCTAATTGGTTTCCTTATGTTATTCATAATGAAACCATTTCGTGGTTGTTCCCGGAATTTTGAATTGAAAGGTGTTTTTTGAAGAATATTTATGGCTATTAGTTCAAATACTTTGCTGGATCAGTCGCTGGTTACATGAGGAATACACAAGTAATATTCTCTTACCAAATATATACAAAGAGTACGGAGTACGGACACGAAATCTCTTAACACTCTTATGTTCACTTTGTATTAGAAGATACGCACTCTTAGCTTACAGCTCACGTTAAGGAGAAATTTTTCATTTTGATAGGAAAACGGGTAGTACATTACATATTTTTATATAAGTGGTAGAAAAATTTTATTTATTAACTTTTTAACTCACATTTCACACAATTTGTATAATCCCGTGTTCTGATCACACTGAGGATATGAGATTTTTTTTAAGGAAAACTAATGAAAATGACTTAAAAACTTTGAGTTTTAAGTTAACGATACTGACAAAATAAAGGGTAAAGTGAATAGTATCATGATTGACTTTTTAGTGTAAAAATATGGTTTTTCGTTAAAGTGAACAGTACCGAAAGCTTTTCGTTAATTTTTTTTTTTATTGGTTTATTGGCCAACGACAATGACAATAATGCACGCTATACTAGGCGATTGTTCAACCATGCTGCTAAATTAAAATCCTATAATACGCTAGCCAGCTGCTCTAATTGGATAAGATAAACATGATACTCTCTTAAGAACATCAAGAATAACGAATCCTAGGTTTTCAATTAAATTAAGTATACATGTTTCCAAAAAAATAAAATAAAATAATATTGTTTTGAGATGGGATTACAAAATAAGATAAACAGGCAGCAAGAGAACAAACTGTTCCCATTTGAGTCAAACTATATCCTTATATGATTATCCTGTAACGTGGATTGTGGCCAATGAACTCCACTTTCTTTTCTTATCACTCAAACAACTTCAATGATGTTGATTGACACTAAAACCTAGCTAGCAGCACTATCTGTAATTTTTTCTTTCATATATTCAACGGTTGCACTAGAAGTCTTTCATATATTCAACCTAAACGGCTGGTTTTGGATAACATATAAGGTATAAGTTATTCATTGACAATTAAGATTGGCCAGTCCCACATTATATAATTTTTATTCTAAGAAATATGCATAAATAAAATCGATTACTTCTTATAAAAGTAGAAGTTCGGAACAAGAAGTTGTATGTAAATTGAGATTTATCCTCATTTATTGTTTATTTTGTGTTTATCCCGACCTATTTTTATTAGAGCTTGTAACTGATTATATTTATGCTTTTTTTTTGTTTTTTTTAAAAAAAATGATATTATTTACACTAAGGGGAAGGGGATGAGCTTAGCATCACAATGTGCTAGCAATAATGTGGTTCAAATTCGCTTTTGGTGAGAATCGAACCTAACACCTCTCACTTACGAGCGAAATGGAATACCACTAGACCATAATACTAAGTGGCTAATGGAGATTCTAGCAATAAGTAGGTATAATATACAAAAAATTGAGGGTACATTACTCAAATGTAGATCCAAGGAAAAAGAACCAAAAAAAAAAAGGAAGCTTTGCTTGCTTGTTCTATATGCAAATTTAAATGTTATGCGCCCTATCATGGAGTCCGGAATGCATGGGAGTTCTCGTGGAGGAGGACCTGGAATAAGTCTGAGACAGCCCCACCTCTGCAGGTTGTTCTAGCCAAACCCTAGAAGACAAAACCTTTTTGGTATAGACACGGTGTCTTCGTTCCCGGGCATAGATTACCCAGAAGATCAAGGACAACATTACAGCTGCAGATACCAAAAACAAGCCAATGTACATCCAGGCACTATGTATTCGCAAAGCGGGGCAATGATCTCTACTTATGTCCGAGAAAGCATCCCTAACAAATGTGCAGTCTATAAGATCAAGAAAGAAGGGACTGTAACGATAGAGAGCGTAGCTAACATTGACGAAGGCGGACAATTGGTCATAGTAGTTTGGAGTTAACCGACCAGGAGTTATACAAACATTCGCTGGCGAAGATTGACACACATACTTCTTCCACACCTGTTTGAGGCAATTATTACAGAAGGTATGTCAGATTTAGACACTACGAAAAGCTATAAAGCTTATACTTTGTGTCTAGTGATTGTGTAACATGGTATCAGATGTCTGGTTGCAGCTAGGAGGTCTTGCATTCAAAACTTTTGAATAACTTGTGACACAAGCAAAGAAATCCATATATGCTTTAGCTTAGAAATGGATGCTAGCTATTAGGCTTCTTCCATTCATTACTCCTATTTTTTATTTGTACCTCTTGAGCATCTTGCATTTGAATTTCACCATCGACACACTTTCGCTCGTTGCGTTTTTCATCAAAGGGGTTGCAAAGAAGCGGCAATGGTGGGCCGGTCTGGTTGAAGTGCAAGGGACCATTAGCCGGGGAATTAGTATTTGCAATATCGGTGACAACACGGTTGAGCACAAAAACAGCATAGAAGGTTGCATCCCTAGTCCGCGACAAGGCCTCCTGGGCCATGTTTTTGTTCACACATGGAAGTATATCATCTAAGGCAGTATGAGCTGTGGGGCTCTTCTGCACCCACTCATTCATTGAAACACATGCATCTGCAAACACACTAACAATTATGCACATAGGAAATGAAGTCAGAAAACCAGAAGAACGAAAAATAAAATTAGCAAGTAATCTTACTGACATCGGTGGCAGATGAGGTGACAAAAGCTTTTAGCCTGATAACATGTCCGTTAATTATAGGGACTGGTACTGCTTTAAGCCACCTTATTCAGTGCCACTAATGTCAGTGATTATGGATGATGTTTTCTTGCAACGATTAAACAACACTTACTTATGGACAAGGAGAAATACACCACACAAAATGAATGTTCCTGTGACGAGAATCCACCCAAGAATCACCAAACTGCATCAATGTGCAAGTGTTTGTTAAAGGACAAAGACATACAAATTCTACCAAAATTTGGACATCTGGAAAATGAACACGAAACAGTTACAGGTGTATACGTCACTTACATGTATACAAGACATTCCATCCCAAAAATGGAAACCACTGCAACAATTTTAGTCCAAAAGAAGAACAGAGAGATTAATAAGGGATAATTTTAAAAGTCAATTTTTTTGGAAATTTCTACCTCAAAACGAAAAGAAAAAAAGGACTTACAAAATCCAACGAAGACCAAACAAAGCATAACAGCAGCAAGAACAATGAGAGCTAGTCTCCTGCAAAACATAGCAACAGAAAAATTAATGTTATCCAAATTATTAAGCATTGTGAGCAAAACTTGGAAGAAGTTGCAGTAGAGTTATATGGCTACATGATATCCAAGCCATCTTCTATACGTTTCGAATTCTTTTCGGTTGTATCAGAGAGTATATCGGCAGCATTTTTTATGGTTCCCATAACACCATCAATGCTCTGCTGAATGTCTGCCGGAAGAACAATGGCGTCGATACCAATCTTCTTAGCTGCATTGAGATAGTCTGACACGTTCCTGAGGTTTTCGGCAGTCCTATCTGCCTGCCCCACGACGTATCCAAGCGTGCTGCACGTGCTGCCATGGAACCTGTCCTGGCCAGTGTAGAGCACAGCACATCCCAAAATTGCCATGAGTGTGAAGAAAATGAGGATGGAGAGTGAGAGAACATATGCTACTCTAGAATAGCCATACGGCTCTTTCCGACAGCAGCAGTAGCAGAAGTAGATGAGCAACAGGCTTATCCCGAACAGCACGAACCACACAACGGCGGTGACGAAGAAGGGCGCCGCTGTGAAACCAACAGACTGCGTCATAAAACAAAACAATAATCAATGTAAAAAATTGAGCAGCAGTGTAACCAATAATCCATACGTTTAAAATTAAACAACACTATGAAAAGCATAAAGAAAGAATAGGAAACCACATTATATCGCAAAAACTGACAAAAGTTATTAATTCATGAACATTCTTGACAGAGCTCTCTCTCTATATATATCATTAACGAAATTAAAAATTTGCATATACGATATCGCGACTTACATTTAGGACTAGTTTGGAATTGCTCATGTAAAATTTTTTTTCGCTTATAAGCGCTTCTATTAGAAATGTTTTTATTAGAAACACATTGCACAGTTTATTAAACATTGTGATTCCTAAAGAAGCACGAAATCATTTTTATCATTTCAATTTTTTCTGCTAAACGCAATCAAAAACACTTTTAGTTGTCATAAAAGACTTTTAACATTTCTAGAAGCAATCTCTGCAGGTTATAAATACTAAAACCTATTTAAAAATAAACAAGATACCCCAATTAATTTTGAAACAACGACAACATGAGATAAGCAAAAGAACAAAACAATTCCAGAAATTTATTAAAATAGCAAAACAACCCTCATACCATGTTTTTTATTCATAAATTGATAGAAATTAACCCAAATAACAAAAAGAGAAAAAATGTTTCAAAAGCAAGAACTCACAGCCCAGTAATGCTTATTGCTGATATTCCAGCCACCATTGTATTTCTTGAACGCGTCGAGAGGGTCTCTCCGCCGTGTCCTCTGCTCAGCCAATAACATGACAGTCCTGTTTTCTCCATCTTTTCCTTCAAGAAACCTCCTTGCTGCTGTGTCCCATCCCACCACCCCGTGAAACCCTACGCTCCCTCTCTCGCCGCCTACCTCTACCGCTGCAAACCAAACCAAATTAAACCCAAAAAAAAATTAAACATTAAAGAACACGTAATCCCTACAATTTTTACAAGAAAATAAAAAACATGAAATCACAACCATTTCGACGAAAGTAAAAAAGCTGGGCATGAATGTCAAATGTCATGCATGGGTACCTGTTCTTCGTATGATGTCGAAAAGGTCAGGAGTACCGGAAATTAAAGGAACGAAGAGGAAAATGGAAAAACAAAGAATGGATATTTTCCATGTGTTTGATCTGAGGCATGACATTATGTTTTCGATTTTCGGTTTTTTCTATGATTTTTTTGTTGTTGACGTGATTGCCGAACGACGTCGGATGATGATTTCCTCGACCCACTGTGGTTTTTGAGGTGGAGCTGGGGAGCGGGAGAGAGACGAGGACCAGCGTACATTTTGTGCAGAGGGAGCTATTTGTATGACGCGGTTTACACACATAACTAACTGCGCATAAATTCTATGGAATGAAAAACACAGAATATATAGACTGTGCGAGAGATTAACTATTTACTATTATTTTTCAGCTGAAGTATTTGTTTTCTAAAATACAAAAAAGAAAAAAGAACAAATTCGTATGAAATACAAACAAATCCAACGGTTCACGTATCTATAACCTAGTATGGAAAAGTGATCAAATCCGTTAAACTTAAACTTGTCTTCGTGTCTAATACGAGTTTTGCACACGTAAACTTTTCAAAAGGATAATGAACAAGATTTTGAAGTAAAAAATAAGATTACATTTTTTACAACAGTAACGAATTTATTGAAAATTAAGGGGAAATTACAATCTTCAGTATAAGATGAATTTATTGAAAATTAAGGGGAATTACTATTCTCAGTAAGGTGATTTTACTGACAAAACACTATTATTTAGCTCAAAACATGAATTACACTAACATCTCTAGTCATGCTCTCTATTTTCAAATCAAATTTTAGCTAAAGGGACTAAAAATTTATTTTATGAGCTACCTATAAAATTTTAACGCCAACCATATTGTCTAATTTAGGGAGTCATAAACATGAATATAATGATGATGAATACGACGATGATGTTTCATTTTTTAGGCATATCCACTCGGTTTATATATTTCCATCTTTTCATAGTTTTTATGTTTTATTTTTCCAGGGTTTTTGAACGTTTAGAGTTTCATATTCTGAATGGCAATATGATCAAACCCTAATTAAACATTCTGGACCTTTCTTGTTGATAGCTCAAGGAAAACCCTAGAAAATTTGTTTCTGTTTTTGCTGAAAAAGTTATCACAGAAGTTCTAGTTGCAGCATTAATCGCAAACCCTAAATGGGCCCAATCTTTATGGGGCCTAAATAAGAACTTTGTACAGAAGATGCATGAAGTTTCATTCTATAAGAATTCACCAAAAACAAATAAATATTTGCATCTCTCTATACAAAGTGAGAAGGCAAACAAGGTAAAGCTTTCAAAATCCAAAGAAATTCCCCTCCCTAATTAAGAATATCAAAATAAAATAATTTAATTAACAGGGGTAGTCACTTAGTACTATGGTCTAGTGGTATTCCTCTTCACTTGTAAGTGAAAGGTCTTAGGTTTGATTCTTGCCAAAGGCGAATTTGAACCACATTATTGCTAGCCCATTGTGAGGCTAAACCTACCCCCTCCCGTTAGTGTAGATGATATCGTTTGTTAAAAAAAAAAAATTAACAAGGGTAAGCCGTTTAAAACTATGGTCTAGTAATATTCTTCTTCACTTATAAGTGAGAGGTCTTAGGTTCGATTCTCGCAAAATGCGAATTTGAACCACATCATTATGGTTAGTCCGGTGTGAGACTTAGCCCACTCCCTCACACCCTTAGACCTACTCCAACATTCAAAGTAAAACTCAAACTTTAGGTTCTAAACCTACCCCAACTTGCTCCAACCCTTGGGGCAATTATGAGTTTTAACCAAAACCTCTTTTCTGGGGGCAAATTTAGGCCAGGATTCCCCTCTGGATAAGTGGGGCTGGCCCACTATATATATATATGTATCTTTTTTAGTTTTATATTTATAAATTCATTGAATCCAACGGATCAAATTCAACAGTAAAAAAAAAATCTAAAGGTCTAAATTTAAATCTAACGGCTAAAGTACTTAAAAGAAATTTCATGTGTTTCATATTCTTTTATAGTGTTCCACGAGTTTCATGATGATGGTTTAGTGATTTTTCAATATTTATTGAAATCTAAATATTTTTAGGTAAAAATGTTCATAAATTAAATTAGGATAGTCTGCATAATTTTTTTTTTTTTAAAGAAGTTACTTTAAGAAAAAAATTATATAAATTCATTATTTAATAATCTCGGGCTAAAATTTTAACCCATAAGGGTTGGAGAAAAACAATAGTTATGGGTGAAAAATTTTAGATTTTAACCTACGGGGTTGGAGATACAATTTTTTATATTAAAAAAAAAAGGGGGTAAAATGGTAAAATAAATCATTTTGAAAATTTTCAAGCAAAGCACCACTACGTGGGTTGATCACCTTTTTACAATCTTTTCAATAACTAAATATTAAGTCAGTTTTATCTATTTTGATGAAAAAAATACTAATATATTTGACAAAAAAATACTAATAATAAATAATAAATAAATAAAACCAATTAGCACACGCAAGGCTAATTATTCATAAAACATTTATATTAAAATAGTATTAGCACCTCATCATCATCCTTTAGTGAAAATATATTGTTGTATTAATATATATATATTAGGAGAATAATGTTTAATTGTACTACAATACTATAAAAAGTGGAAATGTTTTGCAATTGGTAGAGAGATTAGGCTAATTTGTACAATGAGTTGACCATAATTGGGTATCAATTTTAATACAGACATTATATATCTTTACTAGTTTTGTGAGTCGATAAAAGTGGCTATTTTACGGCCAAATCGATAAAAGTGGTTCCTGAGATTCCAAATCAATAAAAGTGGTCCCTGAGATATGTAAGTGGTTAACCCAATGGTACCTTCTTCCAGCCAATTTCGAAAGTCCCTGAGATTCCAAATCGATAAAAGTGGTTCCTGAGATTGTCTACTATCCATCATTTTGGTCATTTCGTTAAAAACTCCGTTAAGTGTTCCAGAGCTCTTGGCCGGAAGTTTGGGCAATTTTCAAAGCTTCGTAATTCAATCGTTTCTTAACCAAATTCGACCCATAATATATCAAAATAAAGATAGGAAAGTGTAAAATAAGATTATACCTATTTCGAAGCCCAATGATTGCCAGAGATTGCCGTAAAATAGCCTCCAATTTGACTGGTCCGAGTGAAAACTCGCCGGAAACTGGGTAAATTTTAAACGTTCATAACTTCTTCAATACTCAACGAAATTAAGTGATTCAAAAATCATACTTCTCGACGAGACGAAGAGAATGGTACCTTTTTTATGGCTAAATCACTGTGGTTTGGCCGAAAAACGGCTCGAAAGTGACTAACTCGAGACCAAGATAGCCACTTTCAAGTCGTTTTCCAGTCAAACCACGACGAGTTAGCCATTGAAAAGGTACCATTCACTTCGTCTCGTCAAGAAGTATGATTTTTGTATTTGAATCACTTGATTTCATTGAGTATTGAAGAAGTTATGAACGTTTAAAGTTTACACAGTTTCCGGCGAGTTTTCAAGTTTTCACTTGGACCAGTCAACTTTGAGGCTATTTTACGGAAATCTCCAGCAACCATTGGGCTTCGAAATAGGTATAATCTTATTCTACACTTTCCTATCTTCATTTTGATATATTATGGGTCGAATTTGGTTAAGAAACGATTGAGTTACGAAGCTTTGAAAAATGCCCAAACTTCCGGCCAGGAGCTCTGGAACACTTAACGGAGTTTTTAACTGAATGACCAAAATGATGGATGATGAACAATCTCAGGAACCACTTTTATTGATTTGGAATTTTAAAAACCAAAGTGATGAGTTATGAAATCTCAGGGACCATTTTGGCGATTTACCCATAAAGAAAAATACCTTTGACTCTAATACTAGTTAGTAATCTTCAACAAACTTCGGTGAATTACTTAATTAATTTTGTGATTAAGTACTGTGTTTGTATCTTTTCAATTGAAGGATTAATCAAACAATTGACATAGTACAATATGTGCTACAAGATATGTACATCTAGGTTGTGACTATGCTTGTTACAGCTAGTAATAGCTAGGATTAGTAATTCTTATCACAGCTAATCCCGGAAGGTTTGACTGGTCAAAATTAATTAAATAAATTCTGTCTCTTTTGTCTGTCACACACAAAATCATGCACACACGTACGATATTGTTTTATAATTACAGTCAAAGTCCAAGGAATACCATTTAGGCGGGTACTCATTAGGCCTTAAATTAAATCTGTGAATTGCATATTGAGTCGTGCAAGAACAGGGCAAATGTACTGGTAACCGGTTTGTGATTCAACCAGTCATGATAACCTTTCTGCACATAAAAAATTATTATACATATTTATAATTTTTTTATTTTAATTCTTTTTTTTTAAACGACGTATTTTAATTCATTTAAATTATTGAAAAGAATTTCAAACTTAAGTATAAAATCACGAGCACAAGTAAAATCCAAATGTAGTATCATATAATTAACTGTTCTCCTGATTTTACTTGTGCTCCTACTAGAAAGATTAACTATTTAGATTAAATGTGCTCCTAGATCTAATGCTAGAAAGATTAACTATTTAGATTAACTATTTAAATCATATGACGTGATTGTTAATTATTGAATTATTAAATGTTAATTAACGTGTTTATTTTTTATTGATGACACATCGCATGATTTACAAATTTAATCTAAAAATTTAGCCTACCTAGTATAACTCCTACTATGAATATACTTTAATTGTAATACACAGTTGTACCATATAATATGAAGCATATATGATCACAAGAACTAGAAGAGCCTCATCAAAATTCATGAGTAATTGAATCAATGATGAGATTAGTAAAATCATGAATGAAATATGACCTTGTTTTGGTCTAGTATAAAATATGACTTAAAAAAGAGTGATAAAAATGTACAGAACAATAACTTGGAATTGGGAACCACGTGATCACCTTAAGACAAAACACCCCGACCAAGTGATTAATTAACAAGAATTAAACTTCAAATTCGAGAAAGAAAGAAAGAGCTAATGTAATTATTTAATTAATCAAAGCATTTGAAGAGTTCAATTCAGTCAATTAAACTGAAAATTGTAATATTGAGCTTTATTAAAAAGTTTGTTGATTATACTAACACAAAGGAGATCTATGAGGAATGCGTTTTCTTCTACTAATCATGCTTGTGGCCATGTCCTCGTCGGAAACTTTATGAGCCGATCTTCCACATAACGACGCGTAATTAAGCCCGCTTCTCTTTTTCCTGACGACATCATGATGCATGTACGCCATGTGCATGGTCATGCTCATGGTCTCAGA